GTGTTTAGAGAATAGTTGGCACGATCCTTCTTAAATCTGTAAGGAAATGGGGTTGAAGTGGTGGGTAAAGCACTGGATGTGATGCTGTGCAGTTCTCAGGGTGAAACGCAGTAAAAGCAAAGACCTCGGGGCTGTCCCTGAAGCTGGAACTGCTGGAGACAGACATGGAGCATGGCTTCTGTCCCCACAGCTCTGCACTGACCTGCCAGTAGTGGCTGGGGTGCAGCACCTCATGCCCCACAGCTCAGAGCAGGAAGGACAGGACAGCCAACCCAAGGGACCCCTGCACCCCTCCAGCTGCACCAGCTCCTCCCGTTCCAAAGGACAAGGATGTGCCACATTGTCCTACATAATTAGATGGGTCTTAGCTTTGTAAAGCAGTAAAGCAAATCAAATCCTGATTATTTAAGATTGCATATAATTGAGAAGTCTTACTGTATTACAGGATGTTTGGTGAAGTCCGGAGAACATGCTCCAGTGAGATAACTGGACCAAGGGCAGACCTGTTTGGAGGAGTTAAGCATGAAAAGCAGAATCAAGCATGCAGATCTTAACCCCAGCTGTGGACACAGATAGCTCAGCACACTGGTAAAGCCAGGTATAGGCTTAGAGCTTTGTTCACAGCTGCCCCTCAGTGCTACTCTGATGGACCAGTGCACGTCCCAGGACATGGATGCAAAGAGCCCACAACCCACATGACAGCAGCAGGAGTCAGTGGGATGTTTCCCATGGCCAGTCAGTCACCAGTGATGTGCCAACCACAGTTAGGAAACCAATGCCATTAAGTATATACACATATATTCCATCTATTAGGTGGATATGACCATTCTGGGGAAAAGCCAAGGAAATCTGCACATGCACAGTAACTCTCAGGCATTTCCACCCTCTAACCAGACTTGCTCTGGTACAGCAGCCTGATTTGTGGAAGAAGGAGCCTGTAGACTTGAGGTATATAAACTAGTGAATAATCCCTCCAGAATTTATCCTCGGCCATGCCAGAATCCATTCTTTCTGCTACGAGCCTCCCACAACCTGCTGTGTGCACTGCTGCTCCTTGCAACAGGTTCCAGCAAACAGACAGGTGTCCCCACCATTTCTGCTGTGGAGCTTTGAGCATCTGAGTTCAGTGCAATGTTACCATACGTGTGGTCAGCACTCAGGTGTCAGGTTGTGCCCCTGGCTGTAGCACAGCCCAAACAAGGGTTGGTTTTCCACTCAGACAGCAGTTGTCATGTTCCCACCACACATCCTTACCTCAAAATGCATCTTTGTTCTCAGCAGCTCTTTGTAGAGCTCAGGGTCCTCCAGGACATGGTATCCATGGCCAATGCGCTCGGCCTTCAGGACATGAACTGCCTAAAAAGAGCACAGGAGAACCACTCACAGCCTCTGAGCACCAGCTCGGCTCCTGCCTGCCCTGAGACCCCTGTCCCACCTCTGGGACAGCCCCACCACTGACCCTGCTCTAGGATGGCCCTTTCCAGCCACTGTGCCATGTCCCCAGTGTTTGCTGTGCTGTGGCTACAGAGAGGGCTGGGACACCTCTCTCCCTGGTGCAGGGGATGCAGGGCTGTTCCCAGCCCTGCCCCTCTCTCTGCCCTGACTTGGGAACTCCTCGTACCTCCTTGACCATGGCAGCAGCTCCGACCTCCCCAGCATGGACAGTGCGGTGAATCCCACATCTCTCAGCTTCCTGCAAAACCAGGGAGAACATGTTCCTGTCCCATCACCCGCAGTGAGGGCAGCAAACCCCTGGGATGGCACAGCAAGCAACAGGGCTCTGTGCCAAGAGCCCACAGGTCACAGGCTCCGCACTCCAAGGGCTGCAAGAGAAGAGCCACAAATTGAGACACTGAGAAATCCTGGTACCTTCTGCTGGAGCCCAGCCAGGCTCCTCAAGGGCTTTTTTGGGTGAGTTCATCACTGCCTCTTCTCCAGACAGCAGCAAGCTCCAAGTTCCCCTTCCTCCACCCACCTGTCCTTCTGCATGAACCTTGCAGCAGTTCCAGCCTGTGGAACTTCTACCTTTTTGGCCAGCTGCAGCCAGGTGAGGGAATTTAGAAGCCCCCCCCCAGGGCAGAGATGAAGAAATGCTCTGACACTGAGCACCTCCCTCCTGTAAGGGGCTGGGGTGGAGGCAGCCCAGCCGAGAGGACCCTGCAGGTGCAGCTTTTGGTGCAGCTCCATGACCAACCCGAAAAATCCTTTGCCAGGGTGGCCCAGAGGCCACCTGGGCTTTGGGAAGCCATGCAGCCTCGAGGGAAGCCTGGCTGCTGGAGAAGGGCCACCCAGCTGGCAGCAGCAGACAGGCTGCAAGCCCCATCCCGCAGCAGCCGCTCCTCACAGACAGTCCTTCAGGGCTCTGCACTCAGGAGGGATTTTCAGTTACTTAATGCAGATGGGAGTGGGGTTTGTTTCAGCATCTCAGAGCCTGAGCGAGCCCCTGGCACAGAGACAAGATGCACCCTTCAGATGGAGAAGGCTGGACCTGGGTACTGCTGGCACAGCAGGGAGGATAAGACACATCTGCCCATCTGTTCATAAAACCCTGTGCCTGCATCTGGGTTTATAATCACTCTGTTCACCCAGTACAGCAGTGCAGGCAGACTTTGTATCAGCTCCCACTGATGGGGTGAAGGCCCCAGGAAGCCCCACGTGCTTTCAGACCTGAGCACTGCTTACAAACCACTGTCTTTTTTGCCAGTGGTGGTGCACAACCTCCTCCCCCACTGATGGAGGGGACTAACAACCCCAAATTCCCACTAGCAAAGAGGAACAAGACTTTCCCTTAGAACCTTTGCAAAGGCTGAGGTCTAGTAAGAGTCTGGGATCAGGCTTCTGAAGCTATTACAGTGTTTGTATTTGAGATGATCAAATAAAAAAGCCCTTCAAATGTGCAGCTTCCTCTCAGCTCCTCGGGTGATTTCTGGCAGACTGGAAAGGCCAGTCTCTTCCACCCTTGGCCATGGTTCCACTGAGCCCCAGGGGCTGACAGCAGCGGGGTGGGGGATGATCTGGGCTCCACGTCACTTGTGTCACGCTCAGTGCTACAGAGTAGCGTCCCAAGCCCCAGCTCCAAGACCATGTTTAAGCAGTGATGCCTGCCTTTAATCATTTAGGAAATATAAACAAACATTTCTGGTTTTAATAGCTGCAACACATTTCTAAGTTGTCCCAGCCGTCTGCAGCTGGAAAAACGTGCTGCTTGTCCCTTCACACACATCCCCTCAATACGTATTTTTCTTGTAATTTCTTTTAAGAAGCCTAATTTCACAAACCTCATAAGCCTTCTTATGCTCAGAGTCAATCTCCACCTTTAGGGTCTCTGAAGGTTGACCTTCAGCCAGGTCAATGGCCACCACAGAGTCATTTCGATACTTCTTGCACAGCTCCACCACTTCTGGAGACCAGCCTGGAAGAGACAGCACCAGTATTTAGGAGGAAGCATTTTAATGAATAAATCCTGGTCCTATGACTAGAAGGCTAGGGCTATTTTCTTTGGTCTTTCCTAAAATTTGATGCTCCAAAAAGAAACTCCTAGAAAAGTCTGTCATCTTCAGGCAAATAAAAGCTGTCAACTGATCAGTCTGTCATCAAGGAAAGGGAAACCAAATGCATTCACCAGCTGTAAAACTGCTCTTATCATGTTCTTCTGTTCACTTTGAGCAAGGGGAAAAAAATAATAAAAAATCCCCTCCAACCAGTGGTTGACTGCTGCAGTTGGCTTGAGGTAAGATGAATTGCATTGCCCTGAGGCTGTAACATGGTGCTTTGGAGAACTCCTGAGCTTTCACCCCATCCCAGGCCAGGCATCTGTTGGATGTGTCGTGTTAAGGAGGAGTTTGGGCTAAGAGGGATCTCTGGGGTCCCTGTATAACAGTCAGCCATGCCCTGTTATAGGGCATCCTCGACTTCCCCGGGGCAAGACGATGGATTCTACTTCTGGTGGGAAGGAGCTGAACTTTTATCTATTTGACATCAGTGAGAAAGAGAGTAACAAGTGGCTGACAATTACTTCAGAGCTCTCTCTGATCAGGACAGATAACATCTGCTAAAGGAGGTTCATCTACCAGCTCACGTAGCACTTAACCTTAGCAGAAAGGCCAAGAAACAGAGATAAACAGTAGTGTTAATAATTAACAGGCACCTGCTGTGTACATACAATCCCCAAACCATAGGAACACATAAGAGGATGTGTACAATTTCATCTTCTTTTTGTTTTCAGTTCCCAACTCACTGGGTTAGAGTCACTATTTTACTAACAAGTTTAATACAAGCTAGTTCCAGTTGGCATCTCTGCCTTTCTCTCAACATTCATTATTCATAGGGTAATTAATATCACAGGTGATATGCTGTGCAGCATATCCTGAACGTAGCACTAAAGACTCTTTACCAAGCACATTACTGGCTCTGGGTAACAGAGCTGGTGCCCTGGGATACAGGTATGAGAATGCCAACTCTGTTGCCTGCACAAGCAATCCCTCCTGCCACCTCCTGCCTCCTGCCATTACCACTCGTGTGCTGGCACACTGCAGATCAGGGTGACTGTGCCTTACAGCTTTCCAGTTTCTACAAAGAAAAATGTTTTCTTCCCAGAAACCAGAAATGACAGGGTCAAGTTTTCAAAGTACTGTTTGCAGTTGGCTGTGCAGGCAGGAAAAACCCCACTCTCCAATCTCCTAGTTTCCAAGAATATAATTTTTCACATTTCTAGACACAAATTAACCATGTACTCATTAGGAAAAATCTTTCCACCATCTACCCTATTAAGCCTATATGAAACTGATGTGAGATATGAAGATACTCAGAGAAAAGTCTTCACATAAAACAGCTGCTGTTACACACTCTCTCTCTGACTGCATTCTTCCCTGGAGGAAGGTGTGGGGTGAAGTTGTAGCCCCACAATTAAAGTTTGAGGTAGTGCA